CGAACCATATTGGTGATCCCCATTTGGGACAAAGCACTGCTGCGCAGCTTTAGAAAGTCGCTAGCATGGCTCATGGTAGTGTTGTTTCAAAGAGAACACGGCTCTTTTGCAGCAACTAATGTTACATTCAACGCAGTAGATAGCTGGCTAGCTTGAAGATTTGTCGTTCAGGGCAAATCATTATAACAGACTGTTAATATCAAACATTACACATATTAATGGCCTCTATCCTTCAACAGTATAGAGGTACTTACGAATTACACTCCACACTAGACATGTTGACTGTATTCCGGTAGTCGTAAAAACATACTTGTCACGTGAATGCATTCATCTGCTCAAAATAGAAAGTAAAAGGACAGAAGGACGGTCTTGTTGCTATGTAATCTATCAGAGACAAAAGACACCTCAATCTCAATTTTTTTTAAATATTGTAAAAACAATATCCAACCTCACAGTTTCATCCCCCACTCATAATTAAGTTTTTGTATTTTTCCAACAAGAAAAATGCAACATGAGCCAGCTCAATTAATAAACCAAATGGGCATGCAAATCAGATTAGACCTAATTAAACCCCCACTTCCTGCTGTTGCCTTCTTTTTACAGACTGGCAGAGTGACAGGGAGTTTAAGCATCCGTGTAGATGAAGGGGAAGTGGGAAGGACAGCTCCATATGCGTTAAGTCAGCCCGGGGGGACAGCTGGGTCCGACTGTCTTTTTCTGCCACACTCATTTGGCCCCAGCAATCATCCTGTCTTGTGCTAAAGGTCTCTCGTCGCTACAAGGCTCCTTGGCACTATCTGGGAGCTACAGACGAAGAATATGCTGATTAAACATGCCTTCATTAAAGCGATTACATGCAGAAGGCGGTTCAATTTCCCACGGGCAGCCAAATAACGATGAGGGGGGAAGAAGACGAAGAAGGCTTTTGGTGCGGGGATGGGGTTCATGGAGGAGAGGAGGGGGTAAACTGATTATGGCTGCTTGTTAGCATTAATTTAAGTTACCCACACACAGTCTTTAAAGACTGACTAACAGTCTTCTTAGACTTAATATGTTGTGTGAGCTGCACTCTCCTCCCGGGGACAGCCAGCTCTCTGCCCTTACGAACACCCCTACCTGACTCACCACACCTACAGGCCACTTCCAGGTCATCGAGCTTCCACTGCAGAAGACCTTGCCAAAGACGCAGGAGAGACGTTACTTCTGGTTCATTAAATAAAGCCGGACAGTGTTTTAGTGCCTGAATGAGCTGTAGAAGATGTGGTGGCAGGCGAGAAGGAAAGGAAAGAGTTAAAGTCGTTATGAAGGCCGAATGAACATCAGCAGCTTTCAGGCGTTCTTCAGTTTTGTCCTTTTCTGAGTTTATTTTTTGAAGGACAAACAAGATATTTTTCTGAATATTAATGAAAGCTATAATTAATTCGGCAATTACAGAAAAATCCAAATGTTGTACATCACTATTTTCTTTGAACAATGTCTTACTTCTTACTAACTCATCCTGACCACAAGAGAATTGATTTTGCAATACACCTTACTCTCGCTGTGTCAGCAGTCCTGGTCGGTTCCAGATAATTGAATGCTCTGTAAAAAAGGATGATTCATCATAACTGAAAACAACCACATGTTTTGTTGAGATTATAGACTGTCTTATAAATGGCACACTACTACAGTTCAATGTGACAAATTCAATTATTCCTCCCACAGTGCACTTCACCTGCCCTCAGTCTGTCTCCCTTGGGCACAGCCGGCAGCCTTCACGCACCCCAGTGATGTGCTAATAGCCAGTGAAGAACAGAAGAAGAGTCTTTAAATGTCTCAGCCAGAGGCGCTCTCTGTCTCGCTGTAGGTGATTGCACCTCCTCTATTGCTTTCATATATTTTTATTTTCTTGTTGCTGCTGCTTTTGTGCTTTATTACCCTACTGTCAACCTGAATCACACCAGCACTCAAAGAAAGTGACAACATTGCAAGTATGAGGTGTTTGAACTGTGTATTCTGGTGCATAGCGGCATGTAATCATGTGCATGCGAGCAAAAATAATTGTTCAGCGCCTCGGAGCCAATAGGAAAGTCACATTTCTCCGAATCAGAAGCTAATTTTGTCAAACCACCCGCGATAAGAGGTTGTTACTTTTGTGACCTTTAGTGAAGTGGATGAGGTCACTCTGAAACTGGAACTGACCACTGCGTGATACTTTTTCTGTTTCCCTGAAACTGCTTCTGTTTCTCTGTTTCACCTGATTTCTTCTGACTGACACCGGCACATCAGACCACTGTTTCAATGGGAGGGGCCCGGCCCAAAGTGACCGCTGTATAACAGCTGCTCAACCTACAGTACAGCTCCCAGAATCTGAGGAAGAGCACAAGATGTGGCTAATGTTGCTTCAGATACTCTTAAAAACTAGCTTGAAGGAACAGAAGAATACAGCAGCTGTCGTGAGAGCTAATGTAACTGGTTAACCTGATTTATTGATCCTTTATTTTTTCACATAAGATGTGCGTTGGTGCAAAAGTGATGACAAAGGTTAAAAGGTCAACATGCTCAATGAGGGAAATCCCCATTTTCACTTTCACTACAATGATAGTTTACTTGTATCTTAAACAGAGTATTTCATTATACTGATGAAATATGTATCACTACAAAGCCTATGTAACCATCATATACACAATAAAGCATGCATTTCTGTCAGCATCCCTGTTGAAATCTATCTTTCAAAAATAAAAGCCTGACTGCATTATGACCTACCAGAGAGTTACCAGAGGCAACTCAACAAAATAGCTAAAGTAGCAATGTCAAGGCTGCAAAAATACTGATAAGTTAACTCCAGAAATCTGTTAGAGTGCCAGGTTACACTGAGATAGCACTGAGCATTGGATTCCTAGTTCTTTGGAATTGTTAGTTGTTTGTCGCTTTGGACAGTAAAGTTAGCCAAGATGCTAAAGGTAGCCATTATGCTAAAGTTCTATGAGCTAGTCAAAAGATCTTCTTGTTTATATCAAGATCAACGGACGGTCTCTGTTGAGCAGTTTGTTTGGAAACAAATGCAGTACATCCTGTGTTGTTAGTAGCTCTGGGGAAAACAGAAATAAATCTGGTTGTGTTTGGGACAGTGGCACCAACAACAATACAATTTGAAAATGCTAGTGAACAGTTATCTGTTTCCACTTATTACCCATAAGTGGAAACAGATAACTGCTCAGCCTGTGAAAACAGTTGTAAAATCTCTTAAATCTTCCACAAGTCTGAGAAAAATAACCCAGGTGATGTCATGGTGATGTCATCTACATTTCTCAGCATTGGATTGAGAGTTTTTATTATGAAACTGTAAAATGTCAATCCAATTCTACACAAAACAATCTCACTGTGAGAACAAAAATCCAGTTATTACCTCATTATCCCCGGCATGTGTCCGCTGACAGACCTCATGTCATATGTTCACACTAACGCACACTGTCAGAGCAAAACACAGGAGGAAATATAGTTACAATTGTTGTTTTTCCAATAGAGTAATAGTATGATACTCCTATTATGTGCAAACGTCTGGGATTGCTTAAGTTGTACCAGTATGTTTAATGTTACATCTGTTTGTCTTAGGACTAGTGAGAACATAATAACTTAAGTACTAGATTTACGTAAGATGGATAAGGTGCTAAAATAAAGATAAAAAACGCAAACACATGAGACCTGAGGATAGGTGCAAGCAGCAGGCTGGAAACTCAAACTAGACGATGCGAACGTGCGTAGGCGCATGGCCCTCTGGGAAGTGATTCAGAGGTCATTACCATATTGAGAACACAAAGACGTCTTTCTATCAAACAGGTGTTCAGTCCAGGGGGACATGTACTCTTGCATACCTTGAAGGCTCCATCAATTGTTATTAAATTCTAGCGCAACCATTCAGTTCAGTCCGCCAAATAAAAACAAGACAATAAAACAGAAGGGAAGAAAAACATATAGTGAAGTCTAATAGGACATTAGCTACTACTACTACCTTTTGTTTTTTTAATAATACAGCATTGTAATGTACAATAATAAAATGTACAGTTTATTTGTGTCGACTTTATTGCCCTTAGTTGTAGATAGTACAATAGTAGAATGTAAGAGTATTTAAGTACTGAACTTGAGCACAATTGTGAGGTACTGTAATTGAGTACTTCACCACTCTGCTACTTTAAACTTCTACTCCACCACATATTGAATGTAAATATGGTACCACTATATATTATAACTTTGCTGATTCAGATCCTTTCTACAAATGATAACTCAATTAATAAATACAATTATATGATAAGATACCCAGTGGTGTGACGCAAATCAAATTAGTACCAGCTTCAATATTTATTATTGCATCACTTAACACAATTCAGTAATATTATATTATATGTAGGCTATATACTATTTAGAGCTGAGTTCAATCCCACCTTGACCGCCATTGTCCTTGGGCCCTCAGTTCTGCATAATGAATACTTATATAATAATAATGCTTTTATTCGTTTGCATTAGTTAGTTTTAACGTATGACTTGTGGCAAAGGATTTTTTACATGTGTGGCTCTTCTTGAGAAAAATATCATACTTCTTCCAGCACTGGCCTGGTATGTAAAATAATCCATCTATTACCATAGATTTAATCACATGAATACAGTTCTGTCTGATACCCCGAGCATACGTCTATCTTTGCCAGACACCCATTATGCTTCATGCCTTTTTTTTAAAGACATCACGCCCAAGAGTTTAGCCACCTACCATCCTCTCCCTGCCTGCAGGGCGGAGGAGCAGCAGTGCGCCTCCTCCGCCTCCCTCATACCGGAGAGCTGGAAGCGCGCCAGGATGGGATTGGCTTCCCGCTCCTGTGGGGAGGAACTGGTGCGCCAGGATACCCAAATATGGACTGTCCGATCTCAGGTTGGATCGCATGACTCAGCACCAGACTATATAGCCTATCCTTACCTTGGGATTGTTGTGAGGAATAAAAAAGCTATAAGGGTTGTTGAAGTGTTTTAGGTATTCCCGAAAACAACGCTTTGTGTTTTTGGATTGTTTTGAGCTTTGAGACACATTCCGACTGACTTGTTAACATATGGTAATGAGTGTAGATGAGCACTTGAATCAACTGTATATGTTTCCTGGGTTGAGTTTCCCTCACGCCAAACAGCACTCGTCTTGTTTACAGTCCTTGTTCCTGGCAACAACGTCATCAAGTGTGCCTGACATCCCGGAGGCGGGGTCACAGACGAAACAGCCAATCAGAGAGCTGAGCGGAGCGCATGTTCAGCCCTACACTGTGTGGCTTCGCTGGATGATATAAGTAGAGTGGAGCGCAACGGGCGCCTGTCATTACAGAGGAAACACAAGTGGAGCTCAGTTTCAGAGCAAATGGACTCTCCTACACACGAGTGGAATCAAAACATCTGAATTAGTCACTGGACTCCGCTTTGAATTCAACCTAAGGTACAAAACGACGACTTGGTACAGTACAGTTCCACTATTTTGGAAGTTTTGCTCTGTTTTTGATAGCTTTGGTCTTCAGTATAATAACACAGCGGGACTTTGTGCTGGAATCAATTGGGACACTAAAAGCCTCGGTGTCCAAGCAAGCAGCTTTGCAGCGAACTCTTGTATTTGACTGTGTGATTTTGAAATATGTCCACAATAATGGAACAGCCTTTTTATGACGACTCGTTTCTCTCTGCTTATGGCCATCCAGGCGCAGCCCTGCCAGACTACAAGCTGCTAAAGCAGAATATGAACTTGAACTTCTCCGATTCATATCGGAACTCAAACTTCAAGTCGCAGCACCTGCGCAACGACGGTGATTTCTATTCGGCCGGGTCAGCGGACGTGGGCTCGCTGAAGCTCGCCTCTCCGGAGCTGGAGCGCCTGATCATCCAAAACAGCAACGGGGTGATCACCACCACACCGACACCTACCCAGTTCCTCTACAACCGCAGCATCACAGAGGAGCAGGAAGGCTTCGCTGAAGGTTTTGTTAAAGCCTTGGACGACCTGCACAAAATGAACCACATGGCTCCTCCAAACGTTTCAATCAGCGGCGTCTCCTGTGGCGTCCCCGGCGGCGTGGTGTGCTCGGCTCCAGCCTCGGTGTTCGGCTCATCCATGCAGCAGGACGGGCTCGAGTACACCACCCTGAGCAGCTGCACCACGAACCCCAGTCTGTCATCTGGAGGCAGCTATCCCTCCACCACCATCAGCTACCTGCCGCCGCACCACCAGTACCACCACCAGCATCCCCAGGCCATGGCGCACGCATCGCACCATTTCCAGCACTCTCTGGCTGGCGCGGGCATCCACTCGCAGCGGTACAGCGGCTTGAAAGAAGAGCCTCAGACGGTGCCTGACATGCTGAGCAGCGATTGCTCTCCACCAATGTCTCCCATCGATATGGAGAACCAGGACCGCATGAAAACGGAGCGCAAGCGGCTGAGGAACCGGCTGGCAGCGTCAAAGTGTCGGAGGCGCAAACTGGAGCGCATCTCCCGCCTAGAGGACAAGGTGAAGGTGCTGAAAACTGACAACGCCGGACTGTCAAGCACGGCGTCAGTACTGAGGGACCAGGTGGCCCAACTCAAACAGAAAGTCATGACACATGTGAGCAGTGGCTGCCAGCTCATGTTGGCGCCCAAAGTGAAGTCTTATTGAAGAAACAATGCACTTTAAACAAAAAAAAACACTGGACACAAACTGCACTGACAATGGACAATGTCAACCTTTTCTGTACGAAAGAACTGGACCATGATGGTTCATATGGCTGATGGAGAAGCAGCACAAATCTAAAGACTAAAACACTTGGGGGCATTTTTGAATACTTTTTTTATTTTAAAGATGTCGTCTTGGCTTTGCCGGTTTACATTTTACTTTAATTGCGATCTGTGATACATTCTTATGTAACTTATTTGTGTTCCTCAGGTTGAGCCTGTGTTTTTTTTTTTTACTTGTACAGTATATATTTAAGTAAATGAAATTATGAAACTAAGATGTATGTGGTGTGGTTTCTTATTGGGGTTATTTAAAACCGTAATCTCTTGAAGTGTTAATTCTCGTTAACATGACCTCACTGTTATCAATGGTCTTTTTCTGGGCAGCAGTTGAGTTCAGAGCAGCAGCTGCTTGACGTTGGAAACGTCCCTGCGTAGGATTGTTTTCCCATTGACGTACATACGTCAGTCCATATATGGTCAATTTTGCTGACAAACGTCACAGACCGAGAAGGTTTCCGGGAACTCCCTCCTACACTGCCCGTCAGTAAAGCTGCGCTCTCCCCTTCACACCGCAGTGTGTGCGTGTGAGTGTGTGGGTTTAAATGAAGGTTTGTCAATGGGTGGTTTATTAAAGTGAAGGGAGTTTCCCCATTCTGCTTTCAATTTCCCAAAACAAGCCCTGAGAACACTAGCTCAAGGAAAATGGTTGAAAAATAAGTTAAACAGCAGAGTAGACTTTCTGTCTGGTGGTGGTTAACAGCTAGGTTTAAATAAAAATGTTTTTAAAAAAAACTTGGGTGAATTTAAATGAAGCATCCACAAAAACTAACCAATGTTTAAAATAAGATGGGAAAAAAAAAAGGAATTTATCTAGATACAGCTTCACTCAATCCCATATAACTCCTCCCTGAATTAGAAATAAATTGTATCATACTATGACAGATTCATTTTTTCCTCAAAAGTGAGGCAGGCCCCAAATCCAATCTTTCCCAATGCACCCGAGCCATTTGTCAATGCGGTGGTGTCTGAGTCAAACACAATAACTCCAACATTTACCAAGACTTCACAGCTTGTGACGTACTCAGATCCTCAGTCACGCACCGAGCACAGTACTGATCACAAGTTAATCACAGAAATGTCTGTTGGCATTTGTCTTCCAAGTTGTAAAGTCACCAAACAAGTAGGCACCAAAGAAGAGATTCAGGTAGAAGTCTGGCACTACCCAGCGGTCACAATTGGAATTACATTCACAAAATGACAAAAAACACAAGTCATAGTTTTCCCACTAGTTTTAATAAAGATGGTAGCAATTTATTAAACTCCAGCAAAAAAAAAAATTATTTTTTTCTGAAAAAGGAACTATATTTTCAGTGCTTGAGACTATGAGGTCATCCCCACCTATTGTACACTGGACGTACAAAGATAAAGATTTGCAAACAAAAGATTTATCCAACACGTTTTGAAATCTCGTTTTGTTGAATACATAAGTTTGGACGCCATGAAATACTGCTTCACAGGGACACCTCTCATCTGAAGGCAAGTGCTTTGATAGGAAGTCTGCGAGGAGACCGTCCCGTTTACTGCTTGGAGAAGTAGGTTTTGCTTTTCTCCACGTCAGGGATGATGGTGTCGCTACCGGGTGTCCAGCCAGCGGGGCACACTGCGGGGGGAGGGAGAAGGGACAAAGTTTAGCACAAGGCGTAAGAAATGGACATTGAACTTTGTATTGGACAAACAACATGTGTGATTACCCCAGAGGTTAGGCTAATAATGCAAGGCAAACTAAGTCCTGTCTGATTACAGTTTACCCATCTTAAAAGAAAATCTAACTTGTTACATGCTAGCTGTGAGATGTGCCATACAAAGTATCTCTTACTCATGCATTGATACTGCATTTTATAGTACATATTAGTGTTGTCATGATACCAACATTTTGGTTTCGATACCAAGTCAAGAATTGCGATTCCGATTCTGTTCTTAATTTTTTTTTAAAGGGAAACAGTCTTAAATGTAATTATTGTGCTTTATTTCACACCAGAACCATAACCACATTGGTAAGTTAGCTAAAAAGATAAGCCATATTAGACAGTTATCATTGCCATTAATTGCCTCGGCAAACTACAAAAACGTTCATTTGTCACAAAATAAATTAGATTAGATAGATAACTTAGATTTGAGGGCATGGGCTGAGCATGATGTAATTATGTTATCTATCACATTCGCTAACCTGTCTGTCTTTAAATTCTTTAAACAGCTCTAGATGCCGGTTGGCGAGGTGCAAAGCCAAGTCTGATGTGTTGGCTCCCTTGGTTTGCAGGGATCTAAAACATGTCTCACAGACGGGCCTCGTGGTGTCCGTAGGCTTGCCCTCACTGTCAGAGATATCGCTCAAATACTTCCAAATTTAGCTTCTGGCGTCTTTTGTCAACAAGCCGAGACGCAGCGGCAGTTGCACTCCCACTCCCAGCCATGCTTCTCGTTTTCTCACATGCTCTGGCAGCTAGCGCGTGCACGAGAGAGGGGAGGCACTTGAGCGATACTAATGAAACGTAACGTAACGTTTTTAACGACAGGGTATCGCGGTACCTTTCAAGTATCGGTACACCGTGCAACACTAGTACATATTAACTCGTTTTCATATTTATGCTATTCCTTCCTTTTAGATCCTATTTTCAGCATTATTATTTACAGAAATATAATTTCGGTTTCCCCTCGCATTTTCATCGGTGGTTAATATTTTAGCCAATTGCAGATATTTGTAAAAAATATGTTCTTAGATTTATATACCTTTTATATTATTAACTTATAATAATGGGAGCAGCATTATTGTAGCATAACTGTAACAAAGCCAATTTTCCCCCACAGTGGAATAAATGTTTACATTTAGTGAAAAACACATTTCTATTAGATTCAAAATAAAATAAATGAGCTGATGGTTAGCCTACAAGCCTATTCATAAAGTAAGGTACAGTTTGTGGTTTAAAAAAAAAGAGGAACAAACACGACTGCATATTTGTATGCAATATTAGAGTGAAAGAATACCATTAACTGATGCCATAACATCAAACAGGGGTATACACACTACACAGGGACTGCTCTCACCCTCTCCATGTTTGTCAGTGTGCTGGAAGGCCTGGACCAGGCGCAGAGTCTCGTCCACAGAGCGGCCCACGGGCAGGTCATTGATGGTGATCTGCCTCAGGATGCCCTTGTCGTCGATCACAAACAGACCCCTGAGAAGCGTAAGGGGAGGTTAAAGTATAGCACAGCAGATATTCCTGTTCTTTGGTAACTTGTGACCCGAGCTGCCCAAACTTTAGCAGAAATGCTTTTTTTGTAGGGGCTAAAATAAATGTTGCTGCTGTACCTGTCGAATTCAGTACATTGTTTTACATCCGTGTTAGTTCTCCTGTCCGTTTCCTCCAAACTGGGGGCTAGCAACCGTCACAGACTATGGATATACATTTCCAATAATGCAAACCATCCCTTTAAGTCCTTATAAGCAGGGGTGCACATAACTTTTTTGCCCTGGTTCTCAAAGGAGCACCTGGAGATGTTGCTTGGTGCTCATCCTTAAAATGAAATAAACCGTAACTTTTGAGGGGTCTTGACTTTATTTGCCAGACACACGGCACTGAACCCACATGCAGAGGTGAACACAGAACACACATGCAGAGGTGAACACAAGACAACATTAGCACGACCAGTAATCCTACAAGCTGTCATCACTACCCTCCTGACTGTTCTCCTCACTGTCTTCCTCTCTGTCAGACATGGTAGCTGATGATGTAGGCCTACTTCTTCCTCTCTGGTTGAGTCTGCGATTAGCTGCTTGCATCCACAAGTCAGCAGCTGGTTTTGGGTCGACAGTCTCTGTTGTCATCTTAGACAAGTGGATGTAATCAAATAAGTATGTGAACATAACCAATAGCCTACCATAGCCAATAACAAATTAATGTAACTTATTTTATTTGTGTTGTTCATTCATATCTTATTTTACCTTAACATTTATTTATTTATGCATTTTTTTTTTATCTCTCCAGTTTTAAAGGATATTTTTGGTTACGGTCTTATAGTATACATTGGAATGAATTAAAACCTGTTTATCCCAATAATTACAAAGGAGTGCCTTGGAAATATGTGTTTACATAAATGGTGACCAAACCGTTTGAATTTAGACTAAGAGTCCTTTACCTCACTGAGCTGTAGTTATCAGCCTCAGTCTGACTGGAGAGGACTCTCCCTCCACATTATTGTAGAAACATCTTCTTCTTATCTCCGTTAGAGCAGCTAGCACCAGATGCTAATAACAACAGCGCTGGTACCACCCTCCCTCTCTCCCTCGCTCACTCGCATTTTGTCTGTGAGCTGCGGGCGCCAGATAAGCCAACATCCCCCATTTTCATCACTTACAGCGCCCATCGTACAGGGCAAATGAAAGGTGGAACCGGGGTGAAAAGGGTGTTACAATTACTTAATTGTGAATATTGTTACATCAAGGCCGAAAATTAGGATGAGCCCCAACGGTCAAAATGTTTTTTTCCCTCCCAGAACTGCCAGCGCAGCACCTCCACAGATCTGGCGCCCTAGGCGAACATCTAGCCAGTGCTACGGGCCGGCCCTGAGTTCATATCATGGTTCATATGCAACTCGCAAATATCTTTCTTTCTCATCTCTCCTCTATTTTCTCTTCTCTCTCTCAATGTTGGTACGCAAATGCGCTTTGTTTCAAATGACCCGGTGCTCTTTTTTTGGCGGAGGTGCGCATGCGCACCAGTTATGTGCAGCCCTGCTTATATGAGCCATTATACAGCAGAATTATAATAGTGGTGCAATGATGGACAAATCTTGGTAAGCAGACCCGGAAGTTAAAATAAGATCTGTGGTAAACAAACATTTATAAAACACATGTGCTGTGTTCAGCAGGATCATTTGCACATATTTACATAACTTTTATAATTTTTAAGTGTAAATCTGTAGAAGTAAAAATCTAATGTTATGCTATAATCAAACTACATCTCGCTTGCAAGGCTGGGCATTACCAATGCTAAGCTAAAGACGGCTAATGTTCAGCATGATGACGTTTGGTCGTCTTATCTAGTCGCTTGTTAGCAACTGCTGTTTTTATGACACATAGAAGCTTTGGACATTGACAGTGGGGTGATTATTAACATATTTTATGTCATATTGGGAAATGTGAAAATCCTTTCAGCTTTTGTTAACCAAGGTCCTAAATTCAGGCATCTAACCTATAACACAAAAAAACAATAGTTGACTTCGAGATAAGGGAACCAGAAGTGGTAAAATGTCAACTCATTCCAGGCTTAAGGACTCACTCCTGCACCACTTTATTAGACTAAGCCCCCGCGCACAATGTCCCCTGGCCTTTTGTTTTAACGATTTAAGCCCTTCTCCTGACCTGTATGCAATGCCATCGTCCTGCTTCAGCACACCATAGTCTTTGGAGATGGTCTTGTTGAGGTCTGCCACGAGGGGGATTTTCATGTTACCCAGACCTCCCTGCTTCCTTGGTGTGTTGATCCTGTAGGGAAAAAATATAAAGAACCCAAATATGGGCCACAAACATTTCAAAAATCGAACACCAAA